GGTTAGCCTCTAGAAGCTGGAAAAGGCAAGGAAAAGTATTCTCCACTGTGGGGGTCCGGCACATCTGCCGGGGGGCTTCCAACCAGCGGAGAGCCTCAGCCCCACTCAAGTGTTCTTAACCTGGAAGAGGGAGTGCGTGGAAGAAAAGATAGATAGAGATTGGGGTCTGGAGGACTGCCAGGCAATGCCGGAGCAAGAAGTGCCAAGACAGCAAGTTTATTTGTGCAAACTACAGGTTATATACTTTTCAGTGTTTAAGGAGTGATGTACATTCCATTGTATCTTAAAATAAAATCAAGAACAAGAATCACAAGAAAAGGGTACAGAAAGTATGACTCTTAATCAAAGGATGTACAGCAAAGGGACAATAAAGTTTGCAAAAAGGGGGTCATAAATCTAAACATGTGTTTTTCTAAAATCAGTTAAGCAAGCAAGTCAGATCATTAACAAGGTATAGCTGGACCTTTCCAAATGTCATTCTAACCTTGCCTATTCATATAGGATCATATGCAAACAATATGATTGAGTTAGCAGAAGTAAACAAAGTCATAGAGTTACTGTGCAGAGAGGGAACTAGGAGGCACACAATGTCTAACCATACAATGTCTCGTTAGACCTCAAGGCCTGAGCTCAGCCATTCTGTTGCAACTGTCAGAGGCAAAGATAGATGTTTATAAAATCAGTGCAACCAGACTTCCTCCTTTCCCTTAGCTCAATAGCCTCCAGGAGAGGAGAAACGTGTATGGGCTCAAGCTCAAGATGGCGAGGGTCCTGTCAAGGGCCCTTCACAGGAGCGATCCCCACACCCCACTAGAGCTCCAGACAAGAATGCAGCCCTGTTAACAACTTCATTTTAGCCCAGTAAGACCCATGTTGGTTTCTAATCTACAGAACTATAATATAACACATCTGCATTATTTTAAGCCATGACAGTTGTGGTAATTTGTTACAACAGCAATAGAAAACTAATACCAGCTTTGTGTTGGCTATGTGTAAGTAATTGGCCCACCACTGAATATAATCATAGCTACACTCACTTCTTAATCACACGTTACCTACCCCTGACTGATTAGGCTGGAATTTTTTTCTTTTTAGACAGGCAATGTAGATATGTTCTTTACTCACGAATTGGAGAAAGTTTCATCATTATGCAATTATCATTTTACCAAGCCCCCTTCTCCAAGTCAGGTTAACTATCTAAAGATATTAATACAATAATTTGCATACAATAAGAGCTTGCTACATGTTTGCAGATCCATCATTCTGACAGTAGAAATGAAGATAAATGAGAAGATTTTCCAGCCATAAAGCAAAATAGAGCATTTAAAAATGCTTTTTGAAAGGTATTAGTAAAGATTAAAAATATGGCTGGGCATCTGTGACAAACCCACAGCCAACATTGTACTGAATGGGGAAAAATTGAAAGCATTCCCCCTGAGAACTAGAACAAGACAGTAGTACTTGAAGTCTTAGCCAGAGATCAGATGAGGGAAAGAAATAAAGGGCATCCAAATTGGTAAAGAGGAAGTCAAACTGTCACTTCTCATAGATGATATGATCATATACCTAAATAACCCTAAAGACTCATCCGAAAAGCTCCCACATCTGATAAATGAATTCAGTAAAGTTTCAGGATACAAAATCAATGTACACAAATCAGTAACAGTGCTATACACTAACAGCTGCCAAGCTGAGAATCAAATCAAGAACTCAACCCCTTTCATAACAGATAAAAAATAAAATACTCAGGAATATACCTAACCAAGAAGGTGAAAGACCTCTATAAGGAAAACTGCAAAACACTGCTGAAAGAAATCATAGACTATACAAACAAATGAAAACACATCCCATGCTCATGGTTGGGTAGAATTACTATTGTGAAAATGACCATACTGCCAAAACCAATTGAAACAATTTCAATTTAATTCCCATCAAAATACCATCATCGTTCTTACAGAACCAGAAAAAACAATCCTAAAATTCATATGAAACCAAAAGCAAACCGACGTATCCAAAGCAAGACTAAGCAAAAAGAACAGATCTGGAGGCATCTCATTATCTAACTTCAAACCATACTATAAGACTGTAGTCACCAAAACAGCATGATATTGGTATAAAAATAGGCACATAGACCAATGGGACAGAATAGAGATGATATACATGATATTGGTATAAAAATAGGCACATAGACCAATGGGACAACTGATCTTCGACAAAGCATACAAAAACAAAGTAGGGAAAGGACACCCTATTCAACAAATGGTGCTGGAATAATTGGCAAGCCACATGTAGGAGAATGAAACTGGATCCTCATCTCCTACCTCATACAAAAATCAACTCAAGATGGATCAAAGATTTAAATCTAAGATCTGAAGCCATAAAAATTCCAGAAGATAACATTAGAAAAATTATTCTAGACATTGACTTAGGCAAAGACTTCATGACCAAGAACCTGAAAGCAAATGCAATAAAAACAAACAAAAATAATTAGATGGGACTTAATTACACCAAAAAGCTTCTGCACAGAAAAAGAAATAATCAGCAGAGTAAACAGACAACACAGAGCGAGAGAAAATCTTCACAATCTATATCTCCAACAAAGCACTAATATCTAGAATCTACAAAGAACTCAAACCAGCAAGAAAAAAAAACAATCCTATCAAAAAGTGGACAAAGGACATGAATAGACAATTTTTAAAAGAAGATATACAAATGACCAACAAACATATGGAAAAATGCTCAACATCACTAATTATTAGGGAAATGCAAATCAAAACCACAATGCAATATCATCTTACTCTTGCAAGAATGGCCATAATTTGAAAATAATAAAGTAGTAGATGTTGGCATGGATGTGGTGAAAAGGGAACACTTTTACACTGCTGTTGACAATGTAAGGTAATATAACCACTATGGAAAAGAGTATGGAGATTCCTTAAAGAACTACAAGTAGGTATAACATTTGATCCAGGAATCTCACTACTGGGTATCTACCAGAGGAAAATAAGTCATTATATGAAAATGACACTTACACATGCATGTTTATAGCAACACAATTCACAATTGCAAAAATCTGGAACTAGTCCAAATGCCCATCAATCAATGAGTGGATAAAGAAAACATGGTATGTATATATATATATAATATGTATGTATATATGCACCATGGAATACTACTCAGCCATAAAAAGGAATTAAATAATGACATTTGCAGCAACCTGGATGCAGTTGGAGACTATTATTCTATGTGAAGTAACTCAGGAGTGGAAAACCAAGCATCATGTGTTCTCACTTGTATGTGGGAGCTAAGCTATGAAAATGCAAAGGCATAACAATGATACATTGGACTCTGGGGACACAGGAGAAAGGGTGGGAGGGGGTGAAAGATAAAAGACTACACATTGGGTACAGCATACACTGCTAGGATGATGATGGGTGCACCAAAATCTAATAAATCACCGTTTTAGAACTTATCCATGTAACCAAACACCATCCGTTCCCCAAACACCTACTGAAATAAAAAAAGAAAAGGAGTGAGGGAGGGAGGGAGGGAAAAATGAAGGGAGGGAAAATGTAGCTGGGCTCAGTGGCTTACCCCTGTAATTATAGCATTTTGGGAGGCCAAGGCAGGATGACCCCTTGAGTCCGGGAGTCTGAGACCCATCTAGGCAATGTAGTAATACCCTGTCTCTACAAAAATTTCTTAAAAATGTCTGGGTATGATGGCATGCACCTGTAGTCCCAGCTACTTAGGAAGCTTAGGCAGGAGGATTGATCAAGCCCAGGAGTTTGAGGCTACAGTGAGCTATGATCACCACTGCACTCCAACCAGGCCAGTGGAGTGAGACCCTGTCTCAACTAAAAAAAAAAAAAAAAGGAAGAAAATATTTGAGTTCTACTTCTACATATAAGCCAGAAATCTTTTCTTTAAATTAATAGTTACAATTCATATGCATGCTTGGATATGCACAGAATATCACTGAACTAAATAAAGAACTGATAATAATGGTTGCCTCTGGAGAGAACTGGTAGGCTATTTGGTGGAGGTGAGAGGGAGACTTATGTTTATTGAATACTATATCATGACTTTAGCTTATGTCATGTGTACATAGTACCTGCTAAAATAACTACTTGATTTTTTTTTTTAATTTGAAGCTTTTAGTTCAGCTTTTATTCCAAATTTTATATAAGGGAAAAGCTTTTCATGTATAGATTAACCCACAGACATTTCATATGGTTTGGCTCTGTGTCCCCACCCAAATCTCATCTCAAATTGTAACCCCCATAATCTCCACATGTCAAGTGAGGGACCTGGTAGGAGGTGCTTGGATCATGGGGGTGGTTTCCCCCATGGTGTTTTTGTGATAGTGAGTGAGTTGAATCTACATTCCTGATAGAAAGAATCACTCTCCCTTCAACAGGAGAGTGATCTCCCTCCCTAGATCTGCTGGTTTTTATAAGTGGCAGTTTTTTCCTGTGTGCTCTCTCTTTTTCTCATGCCATCATGTAAGATGTGCCTTGCCTCACCTTTATCTTCTGCCATGATTGTAAGTTTCCTGAGATCTCCCAGCCATGTGGAACTATGAATCAATTAAACCTCTTTCCTTTCTAAATTACCCAGTCTCGGGTAATATCTTTATACCAGTGTAAGTACAGCCTAATACACATGTATACAGATGAGGAAACTGTTAAAAACCAGTCAAGAGTGGCATTCCATTGGGCATTCAACTTAAAAACAGAAATTCCTTTTGAAAAAATCATGTGTGTATGAATGTTCATACACATATATATGCTAGCATACATACGAAAAATAGTAACGACTATCTCTGAATGAGCATAAGTGGTTTTTTATTTTCTCCATTTTGCTTTTTTAATATTCTAAAATTTTGTAAGGAACATAGGTCACTTTTGTAATTAGAAGGGAAGCCAATTTAAAAGATGAAATCTTCTCATGACTTGAGCCCAGCTACCTGATTAATTTATTTTCCCATTTCCTTGTAGCAAAGAGAATGTTTCCAGCTGCAAGAGAGAGCTATCAGAGAGTCTGGCCTGCTGATTACACTGTTTAAAATCCCAGATGAGCAATTCTTCTGGTCTTCAATATGGCTAAACAAGACATTTGACTTTTTTGAGTAGGTACATCCAAACATTATTGGTTGATCGAAAACTAATCAATGTTAACTGAACTCACAAATGGCTGAATTATACCCAGATTAATCACGTATTAAAATAAGGGATGTGCTTTTCTGGTGAACAAACAGTTCTGCCCATCTTCAAAAGTTTTTTTTATTGCTTTATTTATTTATTAGCTTTGTATGCTTTGTTCAAGCAACTGTGTGTTTTGTTTTGTTTTTATGGACAACCAACATATAACAGAAAATGAAGCTGCTATGATTGAAGATAAACAACAGACCTGCCCAGCCTCAAGCTCCCCTTCCTTTCCTTTCCTTGAGATGTTCCCTAAGAGGGCTCTTTAGAATCCCCAAGACTTCAAAGAATACAGTTTAACACCAACTTATCTGATGGTACCAAATGGATAAGCAGGTTGTTTGGTGAGCCTAGACCTGAAGCAAACAAAATTAGAGGAATACTACATCCAAATTCTGGGAAATGTCTGATGAGTTTTTTCTAGTTCCACAATAGTATACGCCTATCTGAGAGATAGGAATCTGCATTCCTGATAGAAAGAATCACTCTGCCTTCAACAGTGCTAAACAATAGTGGGCCAGTAAACCAGCTTGCTGAAAACAAACAAAATAACCCAAAAAGCCCTGGCTACAGCAATTTGGCATTTTCTGTGGTGTAAAACACTCTCACAGTGGTCTGTCAACAGAATTTAACAACAGCTGGCAAAAATTTCCTGAATGTTTGTCAGTTCTTGTAAACCTGTACTAGCTGCCTTTAGCACACACTGGCAGAAAACCCCTAACTAATTCTGGTTATATGTGTGTTCCACACAGAACCCAATCTGTTGTTTCTTCTTTATTTCTTCATACACTTGGATTATAACAAGCCTAATAAGCCTGATAAGTTTATTAGGGTATAGCTTTCTTTGGGGATGTTCTTGCCTTGGTAATAAATTTGGATCAACTTTATAGGATTTAGGAGTTTCCTGAAACTCTAACAATCACATATCTACAAACCATCTCTGGTTGGTCAATCTGTAAAAGGCAAATCGACTTGTGTTAATTGCTACTGGCTTTGTTTGGAGAGCAGCCAGATAACAAAAGCCCCATTATTTACTGACAGCAGCAATTTCTGATAAACTATAGGCATCCCTTCAGCCTTGTGATTATTTCATACCTAAATGTCTTTTCTTCCCTTATGAATCATGCTGCTGTTTCTTCCTGGAAGCCAGATGGACAATTTTTTTTTTTTTTAATGCAGAGTCTCACTCTGTCACCCAGGCTAGAGTGCAGTGGCATGATCTCAGCTCACTGCAACCTCTGCCTCCCAGGTTCCAATGATTCTCCTGCCTCAGCCTCCTGGGTAGCTGGGATTACAAGCACATACCGCCATGCCCAGCTAATTTTTGTATTTTTAGTAGAGTCTGGGGTTTCACCATGTTGGCCAGGCTTGTCTCAAACTCCCGACCTCATGTGATCTGCCCACCTGGGCCTCCCAAAGTGGTGGGATTACAGATGTTAGCCACTGCACCCAGCCGACAATTTTTAATAAATGTTGTGTTCACATGGCTCTGGAAGAATTAGACCTGGACAAATAATTGGGTTAGTCTAGTTTTACTGTTTTTCATTCAGTACCATAGTTTATACTGAAGACCTGGATGACACTTCTGCTTTTCATAATGAAAAGCTCCTAGTTCAGTTTTTTGAAGAGTTATGTAAGATCAATTAATATTTTGTGCAGAATCACAGAGACTGTGAAATATTTCTATTTATCTTCTAGGCAATGCTAGCTAGCACTAGTGGATAATATGCTTAAAAAAAACCCTTAACTGCCTCCCAAAATACCTTCACTACAGTTATATCAACGTGCCTAAAATTCTTAGCCTCGCAGTCTCTTGTTTGAGGTAAATTACAATTCTCCAGCAGATTTTATAACTATGAAATATTTAACCTATGAGGGAAATACCTGTGCAGCTAGAAACACAATTATCAGATATTTATGAATTCAATGAAAAGGAAATAAGCCACGAAAGAAAGATTATCAGGAAGGACTGGTTTAGAGTTTGAAAGAATGATGTGTTCAGCTCTGGGCTGAATGAGGCACAGCAAGGCAGCGAGCTTTGAAAGTAGCAGAAGTGGTAATGGGAGGTGAGGGAGTGAAAGACAGATTTTAATTCCGTAACTTTTTTCCTACCGCCGGCTTTGGTTCTAGCACATACATGATTCTGGAAAACAAAGCATAGTGTTCTCTTTTCTAACTAAAGTGCTTTCATTTCCGTGGATATGGCAGCTGAAACTGAAAGTGGATGACACCACTGTGAAAACCTACCAGCACAGTACAGAGCCCTTTCTTCTATGAATTAGCAGCAATCATGAGTATTAGTTAACAGACTACTCCTGGAAGGTCACCAGCTTGTAATTGGATCAGATATCACCAACAACTACAGGAAGGTGAAAGGAAATAGTAGCGAAATGAAAAAGAAATTTGACTCGAGGCATGCAGCCTGAAGCAACTGAAAAGCCAAATTATAATATGTGTGGAATTGATCCTTCCAGTTAGCTCTCCAGAAAACTCCCTTATTGCCAGGAAGGGTTTAATTTGATTAGTGAAGGGCTGCCAGAAAAGGGCGTGTGAAACTTTGAGGCTGTTGGGATATCCTTAGCTCTAAATCAAATTTATTTTGGGAGATTTATCATAATTTCCTTGCTTCAGCACCTAAGCCCATCCTAAGTATGCGTCCTGAAACTCAAAAGAATGCTGTGCCCTACACCCTGTCTTTCTGCAGGTAACTTTGGGTTCGCTTCACTGCTGCCTGCTGTAACCATTCCTCCCCAGCTTCCCACTGCCTGTCTACTTCACATCCTTATTTCACAGACGCAGTCTAGTCTGTCTTTTGCATTCCTCCCTAAGCGCTCCTCTCCCTGCATTGGCCTAGCACATCACTCCCAACAACTCTCAAATTCTACCCTCCTTGGTTTAATTGACCACTGAGAGAACATCCCCCACCAACCAACACCCTGCATGACTGCTGGATGACCTTCATGGTGCCTGTCAGCATTGTGGGCAAGACCCTGGAAATTTCACATTTTACATATGAAGAAACTTGACTCAGAGATGTTAATAACCTACTCACAGTCACAGAGCTAAAAAGAACAATAATAATAATTGCTAATATTTATTACCATTTGCTGAAACTGTGCTGAACAATTTACATACATTTTCTTAGAATGAGAAACCTAAGATCAGTTCTGGCTTTCAAATGCCACCCACAATATGCTGCTTCGGCTTCTATGCTGATTAGAACTGGAATTTGAAGGAAGAATAGGAGGTTACAAAGAGGGAAGAAAGAAATGGGAGCAGGAAAATGGAATGAAGGCCTTTGCAGCCAAAAGGAAGAAAATAAACAAAGGATCAGAGAGTTGGGATAAGAGCTTTCTGAAGGACTTTACAGCAATGAAGAGGTGCCATCTCTAGTTGTGAAGCTGGAAAGGGGGCAAAACAAACCTCTCAAACACCGAACTGGAAAGGAAGGGGTGATTTATTCGGCAGGGAGCAGCTGAAGCATAGTTGTCTAACAGCCAAGCTCCCCAACAAAGAAAATCCTTGCCGTTTTAAAGGCTTACAACTCTGGAAATTACATGTGAAAGGGTCTTGGGTTTGCAACTCTAAAAATCACATGTGAAAGAGTCTTGATCTATGAAGTAGGTGTGGGGTACGTGACATAGGTGGGGGTTTGATCAAGTTTAAGTAAAGACAATGCCTTCCAGAAAGATTCCTCAATACCATATCCGTTATCTATAGATGGGACTGTGGTTAGCAGTAGGGGTCTTATCCTTAACCTGGTTGGCAGCGCCAACTGGTCCCTCCTCTGGCTGACTTCTAACTTCTCCTTCTGAGATGCAGTGTAAAAGTCTGAAGAGAATTAAGGGTCTCCTTCCTCAGATGGAGTTACTGGGAGAAACCCAGATTAAGTATATGCCCTTGGGTAAGTCTTAACACCTCTAAGGGTCTGGGATTTTAGGTTTCTCTTTTGTAATACTAAAGAGCTGAAAAATAAACAAACAGAAGGGCTGGGCTAAACAAACTATAAGGTAGTAGGTAGTATTTTTTTTTTTTTTTTGAGATGGAGTTTCACTCTTGTTGCTCTGGCTAGAGGGCAATGGCACAATCTCGGCTCACTGCATCCTCTGCCTCCTGGGTTCAAGTGATTCTCCTGCCTCAGCCTCCCAAGTAGCTGATATTAAAGGCATGCGCCACCATGCTCGGCTAATTTTATTTTTTAAGTAGAAATGGGGTTTCTCCATGTTGGTTAAGCTGGTCTCGAACTCCCAACCTCAGGTGATCTGCCTGCCTCGGCCTCCCAGAGTGCTGGGATTATAGGCATAAGCCATCTCGCCCGGCATTCTAAGGTACTACTTTTAAATAGATGGCCCAGAAACAGTAATGTGACAGGAATGGCTTATGGGCAAGCTGACAGTCATATGGATGACCCTATGTGGCCACCTTGGTGTCAGTGCTCATTCTGACTGGTAGGTGCCTATGCAGTACAAGTTGTTAGTAATGTATTTGCTCTGGCTATAGATATGCAGAGGTATTGAGCGCTCAGTCCTCAGCCCTCAGGGCAGCTGGACGTCCTGAGCCTGCTATTTCTAAACACAAACCACCCTATACATTTTTCCTGATATGCATATAAATATTAACTTTTATGAGAAACAATAACATGTCTTTTAGAGATAATATTCTGTTAATTTATAAGAGTATCATTTGCATTTTCTTTTTTTTTTTAAGAGACGGGGTTTTACTATGTTGGCCAGATGGTCTCAATCTCCTGACTTCATGATCCACCTACCTCAGCCTCCCAAAGTGCTGGGATTACAGGCATGAGCCACCACGCCGGGCCTCCATTTGCATTTTCTAGAGGGAAATGTTTCATAATCATAACCCTCAGATAATATATGTGGTAGGCCACGGAAAAAACAAATGGGGAGTTCTCTCTGGAGGGTCTCAGAAAGGCAGAAAAGATGTTTATAGCAAAGATAGAGAATTGGCAGATAGCTGTATGAAGATTTGGCTTTTGGAGATGCATTAATTATCTTGCACCCGAATCACAATGATAATAAAGAGATAATTCCTTCTAAATATCTGGTGTAAGGTACAAGGTTTAGTAAACGGTGAATGAATGAATGACCTATACTAAGTGTCTTTGGGCACCTAGAATTAATACCTTGTTCCCTTGATATGTCTTCAGCTGACCATTTATGTATATCTGTTGCCTCCACTAGACTGAGGACTTCTTGGTCAAGGACACCCAGTTTATAGTACTTTGTTTTAGCAGCCCAAAGTGCCCCATGAGGGCGGAGACCTTATTGTCTCAATTACCACTACATGTAGCCACTATGTTGAAATACCCACCATAGTACCTAGCACACAGTAAGTTCTCAATAAATATTTGTTGACTTAAATAATTAATTCAGCTCCGTCTTTAAGTATAATAGTATAAAGCATGCTAAGAAAGACAATTTTAATGTTGAAAATAGAATGTAAATAAGGTGAGCTGTATTTATTGAGGTCCAGGCTATAAATAAAATTAGGCTCAAATATTTCTTTTTTTTCTTTTCTCTCTTTTTTTTTTTTTTTTTTGAGACAAGGTCTTTGTTGCCCAGGATGGAGTGTAGTAGCCACAATCTTGGTTCACTGCAACCTCTATCTCCTGGGTGCAAGCAATTCTCCTGCCTCAGCCCTCCCAAAGTAGCTGGGATCACAGGCATGTGATTTCAGTACAGAGGAGGTTTC